CACGATGACCCCTCAATACCAGCTGAGACGTTCGTTTCGCGGATCGCATTGCGATCAACCAATGTTTTGGATGCTTGCTAAATAAAAAAGCTAGTTGCAGAATGCCAAGGAATGAATCTACGATGCCAGATGCGACATTCCACTCGACAAAAAGACCTCGGACTACAGACAAAAACGATTAGAGCTGCAGAAGGAATGATGGTGCTAGCAAGCGAAGTCTATATATACTTAGCCATTGTAAATCATGCGATTTCCATCACTTATACTTATTGCTTGTGTTGCATTTCTATTTGCTCATTCCTTGTACGTAGGGCAGAAATTGAAAACACTCCTATCTCATGTTTTCTAATCTCCTTTTGTACATTTCTCACAAATAGTCCAAATTCTCAAGATATCCAAGATATCATTTTGGCTTGACTTATCCTCATCATATTTCCAACTAGTTGTTAGCGATTTCGCCACTTTTTTATGTTGATGCTTCGTTGTTTATGTGTATTTCAAGCACAATGAGGGTTTAATTACCCAAGTTTGAGGTAATCGACAATAAACGTGTGTCGTTCGTGTGGTGGTTGGTGTGGTTTATTTGGCAAGGTTGTGGCAACCTTTTTACAGTGACCGCCAAAGCTGAGGACAGGTTGCCCTCCTTGTTTCATCGCTATTTTCAAATGAAAAACAATGATGAAAAATGACAGAACTGCATGAGATGATAAAGCTTTGCAGGAGGTACAATTCGCACATTACGCTTTCTAGAAAACATGAATTCTAAAAAAAATCACCTTTTTTAAAAAAAAAAGCCTGTCCCAGGGCAATTCGCAATGTCGTGGACAATAATTCTTCAAACGCAAAAATTTTCTTTTTACTCTTTTTCTAAAGCAAAAACAGAAGTTTTCCGCGCAGGTGAGCATATAATGTTATAGAGCTCATCGAGGACAACAATCTTTTTTTGAGGTTTCAGTTCCAGGTTTTTGTGCGGATGCACTTTCAAACCATCACTTTGATGTACGGCTGGCTATCTATTGTAAAGGAACATTCGAGTTCATGTTTACTGGCCGTCTTTTGTAGAGTAGGGAGATTTTCGAGTTTATGTCGCCTCGTAAAAGCGTCAGCTATTCTTTCCACTGGTCAGTATCATAATTTGGGGCATTTTATCTGTGGAACATGTCTAGACATTCTCTATTGTTCGATTAATAGGGTCAGTAGGAGACGAAGTGAGGTTTTCGAGCCAAAAAGAGTCAGGATGCTTTTCGGTGGGAGGGGGGGGGGGGCGAGGCGAAAATTTTGGGCCAAGCTGTATATTGGCTGATAGGGCTGAAAAAGCTTTATCAGCAATTATAGAGCTTGACGATGATGTTTTTCCAGGTTTCGTCGTTGCTTGTTTGGATTTGGCGTCTGCTGACGCCATGTCGGCGCAGCCGCGGTGCAGCTAACGTGCAGCGACGACGAAACCTGGGAAGACATCATCACCAAGCTCTATCCATATAAGGCCGTTTTCGACATTTTTAGTTTTTTTTATTAATGTTGTGTTATGCCGAGGGGAGAGGGTCGCTTGAAGACGGGCTTGACCCCTGCTCTGCTTGTTTTCCGGAACGGCTTCGTAAATTTGGGCTTGAGGCCTCCCCGAGGCCCGATAAAAGCTTTTAAGTCCAAAGAGAGATATACGAACTTGCATCGAGCATCGACATTGATGTGTTCGCAGTTGAGAATTGTATTTTTTGATTGCAACATATGAAGGTCGAGGGCGGAGGGGAAATTGAGGGTTTTCTCATGTTTATGGTTTTTCTATGCATACCTCAACTGGTTATACAATACCGCTCATAATTCGTTAAAAAAGTCGCCGAAGTGCGCAGCAGTGCGCCGCACTCCACTAAAGTCCGTCGAAGTCCACGTCGCATCGCCATATCGCGCTTCAGAATAGACGTTCTCTGAATCCAAGGACACCGTTCGATTCAGCTCGACAAGACGCATCATTTAGTATATAGAAGTGCCACAATCTATCAAGGCACGATAGGTATACGGTAGACAGTAAGTTTTCGCTCAATTTTGCATTTTTGTTTGGTTGGATTGTTCAGTGTACTGATAACAGTATTGCCATTGATTTGTCGCTGATGACACATAGTAGGTGTACTGTAGGAGCATGGTAGAGAGTCACTCTGATCGAATTTGTTCTAAGATCAGCTCAAGGTACAATACCGCTCACAAAATGTGCAAAATTTCTGTGAACTTCGCGGAATTCCAGGATTTCCGCGAAAGTCAGCGATATTCCGGGGAGTTCGCGATATTCCAGGATCCACGGAACCACGGGAAATCACGCGGACCGCAGCATCATAACTTCCTTCGGAATGAATGTAATCTAAATCCGGAAGCAGCATGTGCTCAGCTCGTCAAGGCAAATCTTTGATGTGCAGCATGCCTCGATACTCCGTTACCAGTTTCTCGAATTCCTCTACGGAGGTCCCTTCGCAAGGATGTAACGCAGCGTCATGTAACATAAAAGATTCTAGTAATTGTTATTCGATAGTACCGTTCTTGTAGGTTATCGTGCGCTTAATAGTAGCCGCAGACTCCAAAAAAGATATCGTTCATTCTGTGACCAGGAGACGCGAGACCGCATTGCACACATTGTTTAGACAATGTGTGCAATGCGGTCTCGCGGTCTTAGCCTAATCGTGTACTTATCAGGTTTACACTTGTTATAGCTCGTCCAGCTTTTTTCACTCTTTTGAAAAAGGGAACAAACTCAAACTTGTTAAGACAATGTCCGCAACGCGGTTTCGCGTCTCCTGGTCGTAGAATAGATTATCGTTGGTGAATTTTGAAAAATCACGCGTTTCCAAATCCTACTCGCCGTAACGTCTTTCGGAATGAATATATTCTGAATCCGAAGAAAGCGTTGTGCTCAGCTCATCAAGGCAAATCTTTTAATTACAGCATGTCCTTGATATTCCGATTTAAGTATTCTTGATTATTTCTGCGCACGTCTCTTCGCAAATTTGCGAAGCAGCGCGCAGTGTCCCTAGTAGATTTCAGCAAAAACCGTTCGATAGTATCATCGGCTCCACGATTCGTGTAGAGGCGGGGTTGCCAACTCAAAGCGTAGCGGTTTTTGATAGCGAGAGAGTACAAAAAAGAAACAATGCTATGATGTGGAGGTTTAACAAGTTTACCTGTGTTAACAGGCAAAGTCTGCAATACAGCTCTACACGAATCGTGGAGACGAGGGTGGAGGACTATATGTCGCCGAAAAAGGGCGGTCCCTGCGGTCCTTTGCGACAAATACGCATCTTTGTACATGCGCGGACATGCGTTCCTGCAGGGAATCCGCGCGGGACTCTTCCAAATTCGGCGACATATAGTCCTCCACCCTGGAGACGATCATACTTTCTTTGTAGATTACAGAACGCTAAAAAGCGACTGCAGACTCTTTCCAATGGAGATAGAGAGGCTGGTGAACTGTAAACAAATCTTATCGTCTCAAATTCTGCTCGTCGTAACCCTAGAGTACGATGCTATTTTGCGAAGCAGATATGCAGATATGAGTTTTGCAATCAGCAGATCGAAAACCCCTATGAGCAAGTTTTTAGAGAACTTCGGGTTACTTGATTTCTCGCTCCTATCCTCGCTCGCTCAGACACTTTTTCCGACGGCCCGCGCGCTTTCATGAGCCTACCGTGCGAGCGGCGCGCCTAGATTTGTGGGCGTGGCCTCGTTTCCGACGGGCGGCGCGCCATCGAAGCCTGCCGTGCGAGCGGCGCACCTTGCCTTCGACGGGCGGCGCGCCATCTTGAGTGACCGGGCGAGCGGCGCGCCATCAACAAATATGTAAGAACAACGAACATGTAACTTAACAAGACGCGTAAGCATCATTTTGAATTCGTTGTTAGCCGTAGGAGGTTGCATTTTTTATCGCATCGTTGGTTGCTTGTCCGTTTTGCCGGCTAATCGTCTCCATTCTCTGTAAGTTTTTTCTGGTTCACATGTGTACAGCCATTGTCACCCATGTGCTCCCTATTCCGTAGCATCTGAGCGTCCGTATTGCGTCCGCTATTCGGCTATCCGGGCCCCAAAATTTTTTTGTCATGGATTTCGCTCAAACTTGGCCTAGAGGAGTTATCTGAGGCGCTGATCACGAATATCACCTTTTCACCGCAGGAAAACGCCTCCATGCACGGTTACGGTTGGTATACGGTAGGGGGCCAACATCATGGATTTGCCCGAAACTTGGCCCAGAGGGGTTATTCGGCCCGCTGATGCTGAATATCACATTGGTTTTGAACCGTAGCGTCATTTTCTCGGATTACGGTAGCTACACGATAACGGATGTAAAACGTAGTTCTGCTTGAAACGGGTGTACGGCGATTCGGACGATCTGAAGCTTTGCACACACGACCACCGCCGTGCGCTACACACCCTGCTGCGGCTTTTGCCTAAGCAAAGCACGGGAAAAGATACATTTGCCAATTTGTGATTTCGGCCCCTACCGTAAGTATGCAGGAAGACGTTTTCGTGCAGAGTGGTTTTTTGGTGCTATCACCAGAGTTGTTTGCTATGCTTTTTCCTGATATTACAATATTTTGAAAGATGTATCGGGCCGCGGTCAGTCTCAAGCGTAAATCTGAAGGAACATAAACGTATGCGAAGCCTAGACCTGTTTTTCCAGCATGTCTCAGTGGGTATGTTTGTTATCTGGTTTTATTAGCTCTAGTAGTTTCGTTTTCAGTAGAGAGAATCCTTTTGTGGAAAATATTGTCGAAGACGAAGCGGCACCCTCAGATATCCAGATGGAATTAGAAGTTCCACAAGGTTCATAGCTTTTGCTTTTTTTCCTTCCTGTTATGTTTCCTAGACTTTGTTTTTCAGGTAACGTGTACGAAAGAGGCGAGTTTCACGTTGAAACTCCCCTACGAGGAGTTCAGCCTCTTCCGTTGCCTAGATCACTTCATGAATGCGTTGAGAACGGAATCTTGCACATTGACAGGGCAGCCCGTTTAATTTTATCGAAGATGCATCGCCAGGAGTTTAACGAAGCGGTCTATTACGTAAGTACGAGTACATTGTTTTTGATAAAAACATACAAATTCTTTCTAGGAGTTTATCAGATCCGATATCGTATTACGCGCTAAAGTCACTTACGGCAGTTTGAATTGCATGGTAGGATCGGACATCCACTCGCTATGGCATATTGCTAATCGCATGACAGTACGGCTGCACATTCTGGGATGTCATATATGCTTTGACTTGCTCAACCTGATTTAGGACTGATTCAATTCAATTCATCCTGATTCAATCCGGTTTTTTCTTTTTGTGTTTTCTTTACAAGTATTGTTCAGTGTCTTCTCTTTAGTGTTTCATCTTTCGTAATATAATGGTACCTTGCTTCAAACTTTCATCAAGATCTCCGTGTTCACTGCCTCAGTGTCATGATTCTGACAGGATTCCGGGGTTTTTTTTGCTTAATCATCATTCTTACCGGTGTCTATCAGTGCTTTCTCAGTATCAGCATGACTGTTATGCTTTACGTGTATTCGGTAGGGGCTTAGCGTAAAAGGTATTGATGATTCTATAGTTGTTGCCTGTTGTGTTCTGCTTTTGATTCTGTATTATGTCCTTTGTAAGTCTTTGGATAATAAATCTGCCATAATCATACCTGTACACATGTTTGGCAATAAATCTGAGGGTATGAGGTCGTATTTCAATGTCAAAATATGAAGTTTATCAAAGGATTGCTATCTGTATCACAATAGGGTCCTACAACGCTTTCGAAGGAGCGGGCGAGCGGCGCGCCTTCGGCGAGCGAGCCGCGTACCTTTATTCCACGGGCGGCGGGAGGCATGAGCGCTCGCACCGGGTGTGGTGCGGAAGGCGACAAAACCCAGCAGAGGCGAGGGAACGGTGGCCACGCCTCCCATTGCCTGCTGTTTAGTGCTGGCCTCGAGTCAATAATTCAGATTGACGCTCTTGTGGCGCATAGGCTGGCACCTGAACGGTGGCGGCGCCCTCTTCGACTACTCTGTTTTATCCATAAGAGTTCGTTGTGTAAAATTGGTAGATGTGATCACTCAGTGTATAAGGAAAGTTACGTAACGCAAGTTGTAGACTCGTAGATTGTTTGCTGATAGCTAACTGATTGAGTGTGAGATTTGGCAGCGAAAATCGATTTCGGTCATCATCTAACTCACGCATATGATCAGTTGCCAGGTTCGTGTGGAGGTGTGTTGCAGACTTTGTTTGGTAACAAGGATAAACTTGTTGAACCTCCATGTTATAGCATTGCTTTTCGTACTCTCTCGCTAGCAAAAACCGCCCCGCTGTGAGATGGCAAGACTCCGCCTCCACACCTCTACGAATATGGAAGCCGATGACATTTCGATTAGCTTCTGCATTGAATAAGAATAACGGAACTGCATCAGTTCTATGCAGTTATGTAGCTATCATTCGGATAGAGATGAATCAAACACAATAAATGCTGCAAAGCAGTTTTCTTTCGAGTCTCAAAGTAAGAAGAATCCTCATTTTCAGGCAAAATGTCAAATTCAATTTGTATCCAGCCGGACCTCGAACTCAATATAGCCGCGATATCTTTCAGAATTTAGCCTTTGTCAATACTTAAGTTCATCTTATTTTTTCTGCTCACTATTCTTCGTTTGACAGGGCAGAAAGAAAAACAACTTTATTCGCAACAAAATCGCACCAGATATAGGACAAAAAGAGAAAATGATAATATCACTCAGCAATGTAGAGTACAACTTCATCTCAAAAGCAAGAAATCCCTGTAAGTTTCCAAAGTACTTTTGTAAGTCTATTTGTTCCACATAGTCATTATCAACAACGGTATCAGGGACCATTATGTATACAGAAATACTGCTTACAAGTCAATGAAGTCATGTTAAGTCTAACCATTTCTTCCAGAAAAGGCAAGAACCTAGGACCGTTAGGATAGCTAAAATAAAAAAACATATGAATACACAAAAGTTAAACTTAAGTAGAATTTGGTTTTGATAACTCGAGTGTAAGTAGCAAAGTTTACACAATGCTCACATAATGGCCCTTGAGCTCTCCTCTGTTCGATTGCACTTAGGCGTGAGATCCATCCTTCAAAAAAAAAAAAGATCGGCGAAGTTCAAGCAGAACGAATGAGTGAGAGCTCTTACCTCATAAGTCCATAGCAATGGCACACAAAGTTAAAAGCGATCTTCCTCGAATATCTCAACTAAAATGGAATAATTAAGTCGCGCAAACATTTTGATGATAACGAAAAGGCTAGCTAATAGGGGGAGGACATTCATAAGGTGATATCTAAATAAGAAAATGATGAAATGGAAAAGTAGAAAAGCACAGAACACAAGAAAGGTCATACCTCTGATGAGTCAGTTGACGACTCCTCTTGCTCGCTTATATGTGCAACTACATGAAGGATCCTAAAGCAAATATGTTTACACAAAAGGTGAAAAATATAGAACCGTAAAGGATAGACAAGAACAGAGACAAAAATGAATCACACAAGAACCGAAACATGTAGAAAGCGTGCAGACGCGCTCCAGTGCAAAGATTGGAAGGACGAGAGTTGACGAGAACTCGAACAGGGCGTGGCCACTAGTCGTGCCTGTTCCAGGGCATTTGTCGCCTTCCGCGTGTTCCCCGCTCGCACCGTCGGAAAAAGTGTCTGAGCGTATCCTTCCCTTGTAAGGTCCGTAGTAAAATTAGTGCGACGCAATGTTGCGGACCGCGCTAACTTTTCGAAAGCGGGAGATTTGTGGTTCTACCAACACCTCGTGATTTCAACTATCTACTCTGAATAGACGCATTTAGAAATTGTTTTGGGTGCGCATCTAGCAGAAGGTTCGTATGGCTGCCGCTTGCGAAGAAGTGAGTGCACCAGCTCAGGAGGAACAACCTGCAAATGAGGAGGCAAGCAGCGCTCAAGAACTACCAGAGGCATCTAGTAATGTAGATGGAGCCATGAATAAAGTGCCCGGTCAGTTTGCGGTCCTCTCACCCAGCTTATTGAGGATTGAGTTGATAACAGGGTTTTCCACAAGATACTTGAACGAGAAATGGATTGGTCGTTACGATGAAACGGGGCAGTATATGGAGTACTTGAATAATCAGTGGCGACCTCTACCCGAAGATGATTTAGAATTTGTTCAGCAGCTTTGGCAAGAGCAGGAAGCTGCCGAGACCCAGGTGTGTGGTTTTGTACGATAATTTAGTTTGAGAAGTAAAATGTGACGCTTGACTTTTTTAGTTCAATGCAAACTGTTGAGCTGGTACTTCAAAACCATTTTCGACAGCTTCATGTCCTTCTCATAGATTTCAAAGTGCTCATTTACTGGGGAGGGGGGAGTGAGTCCCACTTGCTTACTTGTTGTTTGTTGTGCGCTGCCATCTAATAAACCACGGGCAACCATTCTTTCTTGTAATTTTTGAAGTACATTCGTATACATACCAGATAATAATAACTGTTTGCAGGTAGTGAATGGAGTAAAGATGAAATGGAATACAACAGCGCAAGAATGGCAGAAAGTTGATGATGAGGTAGATGAGGATTTCATTGCCAGTTATCAAGCGACCTATGGAGTTCCGTACGATTACAGTAAGTACTTTGACGGTTTTATTACGCGCCACCAATCTCTGCATGTGCTGATTCGGCTTGATTCAGGGCAATGATATGATTCGAGTTGGTCTTGCTAAATTTTTGTCTTGTACTTTTTTGAGGTACATTTTTAGCTCTAATTTGAGGTAAGATGGACGAGGAAAGGAAAGCTAAAGAGGCGGAAAGGTTGAAAAATCACCCCGATAAAGAAGATAAAGAGAAGAAGAAAGCAAAGGGGTCAACTGAGCAACAAGGTAAGTTTGCAAGTAATTACCGAGTGTTTTGCAATTTTTTTGAAACTTAGTTTAAATAGAATGCTTCCGATACGGGTTTGATATCGGTCATTCCTCACATAAGTCGTCATTTTTTGCAGGATGGGTGGACATGGAAGAGAAAGTCCACGCTGTCTACGTAAACAACTTGCCTCTGGATATCACCATGGACGAATTCAAAGTAGGCTTTTCTTTGCTACAGTGTACTATTCGCTACCCAGATCTTATTTCGTTTCCTTTACTAGGAGTTCATGTCAAAATGTGGTGTGATTCAACCTGACGCACGGACGAATAAGCCAAAGTTGAAATTGTATGTCGATGAAAATGGTGATCTCAAGGGTGATGGAAGATGTGTTTACATAAAGAAGGTAGGTTGGTCAGCTTTTATAATTTAGTTCCCATATCTGTTTATAGGTCCTCTTGGCTATTTTGTGGTTTTTTATCACTGCAAATGTTTTTACAGTTATTGACGATGTGAAGTCAAAAATGCTTGTGTTTGTTGCTATTTTCATAAAGCTTAGCTATATGAGTTTGAGCGTTTCTGGGATACCCGGCGCAGAACCGTAGGAGTGCAAGATCTAAATACCCTTCTTTAAGTTGAACATCCCGCCCTACCCTCAGCTGCTCTTAACTTTTTTGGTTTTGACCTCTTGTTCGAAACACAATGGTGCGGATAAAATTTCTGGCAGCATGTGACTTTTCCTCAATGGGCAGCGAATCGCATGATGTATGAGCATTCTTGCAAGATAGTGACTGATACCACGTGAAAGAATAACAGGGAGCATTTAATTTCTATGAAAAGTGTACAAATCTGCACTTTTCTTTCTCACATAGAGCACATTTTTTCCCAGTTATTGTTCAAAGTTTGGACAGGAAAGTGGCTACATCGGTAACTGAAACTATAAAAGTGGTTTCATGGCAGAACCATCCAATCTCTCGCCTTTCTCAGTATTTAGCTTTGTAGGAATCAGTCGATTTGGCGCTATCTATTTTGGATGGATTCAACCTACGTGGTAAAGAAGTCCACGTAGAAAAAGCCAAATTCCAATTGAAAGGAGAATTCGATCCAAGCAAGAAAAGGAAGAAGCTCACAAATGCGCAAAAGAAGAGATACATGGAAAACCAAAACAGGCAAGCCCTTTAGTATATAGAACGGATGCTTTTCGCTTCTGTTGTTTTTCCATCCAGTCGATCTCTAGTGAGACTAGTATTTATTGTAGGATTTTCGAATGGAAACCAGAGAAACCTCGTAACTATCGTCCTATCTCAGACTGTACTGTTGTAATCAAGAATTTATTTACCTTGGAAATGATGGAGGTGAGTTCGTTTGAATATTTTCATGCAGTTTGCATCTTTTTTTTTCACAGAAAAATGCTGCCTTGATGCTGGATTTGAAAGAGGAAGTCCAACAAAGTTGTTCGAAATATGGTACTGTAAAGAAGGTCATCGTCTATGATGTGAGTTCTTTATCACGAACTTCATTTAAAGGTCTTACGTGCGTTAGTGTTGGCTGTAAATCATGCTTCTCTACCAAACACTCCGTGCCAAGTGTTCGGTTGGGCAAAGGCTATCGGCGAAATTACTTTTATCTTGGAAGCAGTCACCTTTCGTCTACTTTGAGTTATGCTACGTATGTATATAGCTGCGTGGCGCTTAAGCGCTGCATCCTTCTCTGGACTACTCTCTAGAGCACTACTTCGAGTCACGCAACTCTTTGCCCTTAAGTAGTAATTTGGGCAAACATAAAACGGCTTCCGGCGCGAAAGTCGAAGATGGATTCATAATTGCGAGCTTAACTCGGCAACAGGCAATCAGTCATTAGTCAGCTGTTGTGGAAGCTGAGCTGTTTATGCGATATGAAAGATCATAAACCAAATTCCCGCAGCTCAAATAACTCATCTAGAATGAGGGGCTGTCTCAAATTCAAATCCGTCTTCTTGGCCACTTCGCCTTTGAAGCATCCGCGATGTCTAGTGCACGGGCGCGCTAAGTATCTAAGTTAAGCAGAATATGAATATGTTTTATAATACTCATAATCACATTCAGTAGTATTACTGGATGGATTATTTATATAAGAGAACTTGTAGACCAAATTTTATGGTTTGCAGAGCAACCCAGAAGGTGTTGTCACCGTAACATTCGAAACAACTGATGAATCCGACATGGCTGTAAAGATGTTGAATGGCAGAATAGTAGATGGACGGAGGTCGTTCCTTTTTCCAATTGATCATCGTGGATGTCCTGACATATTTTCATACTCAATTTCTCGAGTATTTTCTCAAACCATTGTTTCTGATAGCCACGTTTAGGTTAGAGGTGTCTCTTTGGGATGGCAAAACAAAATACAAAGTACAAGAAACTGAAGAGGAACGCCAGAGACGGCTAGCTGCTTGGCAAAATTACATTAAAGGAGAGAGCGATGATGAAGAATCAGAAAGTGTAATGTCAGATGTTAAGAAAAGTCTATCACAAAATGTAACGTCGGACGTGAAGAAGAATCTACCTGAAGATGTGACGTCGGATGTGAAGGAAGATCTATCAGAAAATGTAATATCGGATGTGAAGAAGAATCAATCAGAAAACGTTGCGTCGGATGCGAAGAAAAATTCAGCTGAGGAATCAACAACTGAGACTGGCGAAAAGTCGGGCGAAGTACCCACGCCAGAAAAGAAGGCCAAGTTAGAAAATGAAAGCGGATAATCAATGTTAAGACTTTCCAATCTCCCAGTGATCTTCATGTTTTACGGTTAGAACATCATTACATTTGATAATAAAAATTTATCGTCAGATTTACAACATGTGCAACGATGAGGTAGCATCTAAGACGAGTATAAAAGTAACGTAAGCACACGTATGGTTTATGCAAGCTAAAAGTTATCACAGAAGTAACGGACCGCGCACAGTCCAAATCCAAAGGAATACAGCTACAGCACCTATGTCGTTACTCAACACTCAGACAATCCCGCAGAAAATATAGTAAGGTCATATAGATAATTGGAACTTATAAAGGTTCGAATGAGAATTCAAGAAAATGAAGATCTTGGGGGGAGACGAGATTTAAGCTCCTTGACAGCCTTCTTCACCTGAGCTTGAGTCTCTTCATATGCCCATAGCGAACAAAAGACAACATTACTGTGCTCAATACGTTCCCTGTTAGAGATCTGACTTCTTATACGAGCTTCGGCCTATAACATTGAAGATTGGTATTATTGCTTGGTTTTCAAACATATATCGGGTTAATAGTCAACAAACAATAGTTGCGGAAGTCACATGCAAACATAATTTCATCAGTATAACAAGACTAAGCCTACAGTCACAAATACGTGCAATCTTACCTGTTCTTTGGATAAGCCATCTCGTTCAACAATCCGCCGCACCATTTCCTCATGTGGGACAAATACCGTCCATAACTCGTCCATGTAAGTGTGCCACGACGCTTCAATTATCGCAGCTGCTTCTACCACTGCAATTTGGAAATATGCAAAACTTAGACGACGGAAGGAGCAGAACATACCAATGACATCGCTTTTCGAAACAGCAACACGCGACTTTATTTTCTTCATCAAGTGTGGCCAGATTAGCTCACATAAACTTTTCAATTTCATCTGAAGTAGCATTTTTGTGGCATAATCAAAACGCAAAGAATTCTCACTTCATCACTGAATACAGCTTGTCCTAAAAGTTTCCTGTTTATGACGCCATTTTCAACAACACCATCAAAACTTTTAGCGACTTCTTCGGTTAGTTCACCACCAGGTTCATAGCATGTGTGAGCTAATTTGTCACAGTCGATAACCTCAATTAAGATGGTAAAATTCCCCCGTAAAATGGACTGATTACTCGAAACAGATAGATTAGTTGAACTATACCTCGAATCCAGGTTCTTCCCTCAGATACTTGGCTATATTGCTTTTCCCGCAGGCTATGCCTCCACATAGACCAATTACGTATGGGAGACCTTTGCGTTCTGGATGTAATGTAGGTGGACGTAGAAGCCTGCCAAGGTCTTCTCTGCAAGATAAAACTTTCAAAAATTGAATGCGGAATGACAAAAGCTCTCACCAACCTTCGACGACTTGAAGAACTGATCTTCGTCTCCTTGAGCACATGATCGATAGATTCTAGGAGATCAATGGTTACCATGTCCAATTGAGAGAGATTTTTTTCCTGCAAAAACCAGAAATGGGATGCGTCACAAAACTTATGATAAGAGCATGGTTCCGTAAACAGAGGGAAAACAGCGCGTCTAGGAGTCCGCATTGTTCAAGCAATCAGGAGCAATAAAATAATTTCAGATAAGAACCAACGTAATCAAAGAAAAAACCCGCCTTCCGCACTCTATTGACTGCTTCTCCTCCTTTGATTGTTTCCTGACTAACAACAATCGCCTAAATGCTGTGCCTCAGAAGATCCTCTCTCAGAAACCTCATGTCAGTACGAAGATTACCGTAACACAACTTACTTCCAGATCTGGGATCCTTGTAGACGGACCGAAGGGATCCTCGATCGGTTCAGCTTGGCAAACTACGTTGTCAGAAACGTCAGCTATAAAGTCTTCGACAGCGCGAATTCGGATAGATACCGGCTCTATCAACTCCCAAAGCGACTTCTCTAAAAAGGTGCGTATAATAATCCTTTGGATTAAAAAGGAAAATCCACCTACTTTCTATCATTGCTTTATCTGTAACTCCACAAACAACACTTTCACTTGCTAACAAAGCAGCTTTCGATAGCAGAACCTTAAGCACGAGACATGGTTACATGAAACTTGATGCTCTTCCGCGAGGAATCAATTACCTTATGACCATTATGTAGTCTGTCAAACGTACCGCCGAGAACAACTTTTTTGTACTTCGGCGGAATGACAGAGAGATCTTCCAAGTTCTCCTCGCCGATTAAACGACCATATTTTGGCAACTTCTTCCCCAGCAAAACCCGTACATCCAACTGCGGACAATGGATTGAAGATTGTAGGTATAGCGAAGGCAGCACGGTATCCAAACAAGGCCCTTGAACACTGAAATCATGTTTATATGCGAGCAAGACGAAAGAGCGGCTTATTTCCGAAGTCATCGCCCAGCAAGTTGATGTACTTGTATGAGATGCCGGTAACTTTACAATCGAAAATCGAAAAGGTATCTGGGGAAGGAGAATACACATAGGCCGCATGCATTAACCCCTTTTGAACTGCGATCCCCGCCGGGGAGGGGATCGCAGTTCAAAAGAAAGCTTCATATTCTGAAGCTCCAGATATATTTCACGTTGTGTACCGATCCGTAAGTATTCCTACTATCCTTCACTATGAACGCATCGAACAGCAGCGAGAAGCTGTACAAGCCGCATTTTGCTTTTGTATGATCCCTGTTGACCCCCGGCGCTTTTCTTTAAAGTCATTTTTCTTTCTCCGCAGCCAATGAAAAGCTTCCAAAGTTGTGTTTTTTATCTAACCCAATAGTGCTTAGCATGTTGCTGATAAGAACAAGTGATGTATCGGAGTCATGAAATTTGCGATGAAGCACAAGCCGAAAGTTGAATTTACCGAAAAATTCGATTTTCAAAAACTCAGTACAGTTGTGTTAGATAAATCGCACAACTCTGAAAGCCTTTTATTGACTGCAGAGAAAGAAAAATGACTTTAAAGAAAAGCACGGGGGGTCATCAGGGATCATACAAAAGCTGAAAAATGCGGCTTGTACAGCTTCTCGCTGATGTTCAATGTGTTCATAGTGAAGGATAGTAGGATTACTTACGGAGGTACACAACGTGAAATTCAGATATCTGGAGCTTTACAATATGAAGCTTTCTTTTAAAATGCGATCCTCTCCCCAGCGGGGATGTCAATGCATGTGACCCATAGCTGCTGCCTAGCTTTTCTGGTCATGCGCAATATTTGGATAGTGAAAACGCAACTTAAAACTGCCTTTATTACTGACATGGTCCGTTTTTCTCCCAATTTTCATGACAAAACAAAGAATAACATCACCGCCGTCCATTCAGACTTTGCATTTGCAACCTTTCAATGAATCTTTTGCATTTGTGATCGTAGTGCCGCCTGATAAAAAGCCGTAAAAATGAACAAATAATTTTCAGAACAAATCCGGTTCGTACGATGAATCAACCGTTGTCCTTATCAGCGATAAGAGTCATGCCTACGTAAAGCCGCGTAAGAAAACCTTAAACAAGGAAAGCGGAATGAAATAAACGAAAAGTATAAAATGAATAGGTAAAAAGAAAGAGAAAACTCACCGTATATAAAGACGAGAGGTGATCGACTGAGCAGCACTGGTGAGGAGAGTCTTCAATTTGGGCAGATTTCTTGGAGAAAGGACGAGGAGGCCGACGTCTGGCATACCTGACGACATCGCGAATCAATAGAGGAGTCTGCGATTAGCACGAGAGATTCGATCGCTATCGGCCGTACAATTTGGAACGACGAACGAGTTCAGGAAATGCGGTTTGAGGAGGGCTGACCTCGCGATGGCCAGCCTTCTGACGACGCGACGATCGCGCTTATCAACCTTTGTACGCGACGAGAACCACCCGCTACTTAAACCCGGCTTCATCTTGAATCATCAACCACTTCCAGCATATCATTCGTCGCTTACCGCTTCCGTTGCTATCTCGATGGGATGTGCTTAAACCAAAACACTTACTATCGAAGCGCAGACATCACGAAAAGCTCTAAAATCGCAGCTTTTCTTCCTTATCCTACCTCATCGTCTTCTATGCATCAACCTATCTTAACTTCATTCTTCTTTTTCGAGCAAATGCGAAACCGATTCAAATCCAAGCGTCTATAAAGATCTGAGGGCAAGTACAAACACCGAACAAATCGAACTTCTTATTCCAGTTAGCATAAATAAAGGTAGATAAGCAGATGATGATAATCACGAAGCTTTGAGCATCACATTTTGGAACAAGCAGAATAGAATGTGCAACTGCACAAATGCGCAATATAAATGATCTCTCACCGACCACAGAATTGTATGGCAAACAAAGGCAAAGGAAGTAAAGTTCTATACATATGCGTCAGCCTCAGCTTTGCAGAGGCTGACGCATTATATGTATAAAACTTCGCACTGGCCATCACCTAACGCAGAGTATACGTTTTCAAAGTTTGTCTCTCCATCATTCTTCAGTAAGAAGCAAATACAGGGGCTTTTAAACTAGGTGACACTCAGATTGAAAGTCCCTGTACATCCCAACTGAGAATGAGTCTTTTTCACCATCAACTTACTGGAATTAGATAGGTACAGTCGAGTAGATTTTCCACTCAACCATTGACGACGATGTGGACCACCGGTGGCAAGCCCCTTGCAGGATCAATATCCTTCCCAAGTCTAATATTTTTCCCACAGTTCAGTAGCTTCTCCAATTTTTTCGCACGAACCCTGTAACCTCTGTCGTCCAAGAAGATGATTGTAGTTGTTTACAAAACCGCTCCATCTACAATTCGTGAATGATCACAAATCTTTCCCGTGCCGAAAGTGTGGTGCAAAATCGCGTCGTCCCATAGCACCCCGCACAAATTTAGGCGTCGTCGTCGTGGGTTAGTATAGTGTGTTTGCACTGCAGGTAGACTGCGGTAAAATATGCGCGTGAACAGGTATAGTCCCCTCCACAGATCGTGCTACCCTTGGTCTTCGTCTCAGACCTGCCACGTGTGGCTAACATGTTGGCAGCGTGGCAACAACATGTTTGCAACATGCCCCAACATGTTGGCAGAACATTTTGGCCACGCCAACATGTTGCTGCATGTTGCCAACGTGTTGCTGCCAACGTTGCCAATGTGTTAGTCACACATGGACGTCCGCGACGCCACAAGGGTAGCACGATCTGTGGAGGGGACGATATCTAGCTAGGCCAGTGATGCCGGCAATTTGCGCGCGCAATCGGCCGGCGTCACAGGCGTAGCTAAATTATTCACGCGCAAAATTTTAACGCATTTTACCTGCAGTGCAAGCACACTATACGGAAAATCTACCAGACTGTAGGGGTGATCCTCCAGTGTAGTTTCGTTATAGATCATTTGCACGAAGAGAGCTTAGCGGCTCCATGATGATGCTAGCTGTACAACAATCAGGCGTAAAAGTGATCATGAAGCGAAAACCCTTAAAAATGCGCAAGTGCGTTGCCGGCAAACAGATAGAGTCTTTTACGTGAAAATGTTGTCGGCACCGCAGAGGCATCAAACTATCGAATAGGATGTAGAGTATTAGCAGCCATGTAGTGGAAGGATCATTGTCTGTTAGATTGTTTACTCGGAAAGAGCCGCAAAAATTCATGTGATAAAGTAGGTTGTTGCTATCAAAAAGACTATGATAAAAGAGCTTGAGTGACATTGTTTTTTTATTTTGTCTTTGCCAAAGCCAAAGCATCTGACAACTGTCATGTTTATTGCTACTAATACACAACGTCAGCACAGCGAAAAAAAAAGGTTTTTAGGTTATTTTGAAGGACAGATTTTGTATTTCAAAAAATAAAAATCAAAAGCTAGAAATGTCTAAAAAACATCGTTAAGTGACACACTGTTTACTTTTGAATGTCCAACCTCAATCTTTTCACCTCTGATATACCAAATCTCAAGCGATTTCTTCTTCTTCTTCAAAAAAGGAACCGTCTAGGTGTTCTCCTATAATTGTCCTCTCAAATACGTCATTGTTCCTTATTCATATAGGCGAAAGTCATTAATTGATAGCTCCATTATGCCAGATGAAGGGGTTAACATATAAATCGGTTGGGACACAAAATCATAGCAGCGACTGTTAGTAGTCGAATAGGAATGTAGTTAAAATTATGTAACAGCTTTTTTTGTGCGCTGCTTGTTTCGAAAGTTTCAAACCCATGAGAGCATTTCTGAGCGCGAATATCTTCAAATCTTTTTTGGTTTCACATGGTGATTCATATAGGTGCTTATCCATTGAAGTTTGAAAAAATCTTTCAAAAGTTACCAGCATAATTTCCAGTCTATGAAGTTTTTAGTGTTCGCTTTTGTTGGTTTCTTTTTGTGAGAAGCTTTACTTTTAGAAATTGTGTATGACGGAAAACGCTGGTTCTAAGCGGAGTGATCAAATAAGAGTAAAATATCAAATGAGGTTAAGTCAGACAACATCAACACTGTGAAGACGCTAATAAGCGCTAATTATCTCTAATGACCAAATTCATAATGGCCTTGTTGTGTTGTGCTATCTCGCTACAGCGTATGTAGTATGGTCGGGAGAATCAGCTGTATCAGCAGCTGGAGCTTTTTTCCTTTTCACGATCGCTGATTCATTGCTCATTTTTTCTTATTCCGCAGCAGAGTTCGTAGACTTCACTCTTCTTTGTGTTTGCTTGTCTATGGACATTATTACACTAACCTGAGACGTTCGATATCACATCACAACGTTGCTTTAGAAAAAGATTGACATTGCTACGTTGCACACAAAAAAGCAAATTTTTGTAAAATTTTGTAAATTCCATTCCCGTTATTTACTATCCCTGAGATGCAAAACAACTGAAGTAATTTGAGCATGTAATTAACAAATAAGATAGCAGATAGGGGAGCAGATCGGCAAAACCAAGGTATTAAGGTAATTCGCAAAGGACAGGCCCACTTACTATTATGCGTACATTGAGTGAGCTCACTCTGGTAGATCACCGAATATTCTTAAGGGTTCCCAATTTTTCCTTCTGTCAGAGACGCCAAAATTGTAGTGTCATGGTTCCACTTTCTCAGCAAAAGATAAGTTGTTTACAAATAATTAGTTTTTCCAATGAAAGGAGAATAGCAGCGTTTATTTTCTGCGTTGAACGTCGGACGAAACAGCTGAGCGCTCCAAAGGAAACTTCCTTCGTCGAGGTTTTCCTCTTCTTACTTTTCTTCTTTTTATTTTGCTAAATTTGAAGCCGAACATAGGCCATATATACAAAGTTTGATCTTCTCTTTCTGCTATCATGACTTACTCTTGGTTTTGACTCTTTCTCTTTTTTTTTGATTTGAGGTATGCAGTTGTAGCAAATTTCCCCTTGAAAAACTAAAGCGTTTTTATGAGTGATGCGAACATTTGTTATTTTGCTGTCACGAAATGATCTTCGACTAAGGCCTCGGGCAGAGTTCACGCGATTTGGTCGTCGCGATTCAATCGCTAAAGACAAGTGTTACGAGTTCATTGCATGCCGATATTATTGTATTTCGGTTGTGATAGTTAGTCACGATTAGTCGTGTTGGAAAACTATCACAATCGGAATGTAAGAAGATCGGCATGCAATGAATTCGTAACACTTGTCTCTAGCGATTGAATCGCGACGATCAAATCGCGTGAACTCTGTCCGAGGCCTAACACTAAGATGCGAAAGTAGTGCATGGTGTTCACCATTGATAGTGCATATCAAAAGATATGCTACTCAAAGATATGCTACTTTGTTATGTTGATTATAGTTATATTACTGACTGTAAAAAGTGAAAAGAAATAATAAAGAAAATCAAGAAGAGAGACTTTCTTCAGCGATGACCGATTATGAGTATTGTAATTGGGGCATGTTGCAGCATTTCACTACTCAAGCAAATCAACAATCCAGTTCTATACATTCAATTGTGCTCTTTTACGAGATAATCTATGCTCCGCCTTTGTGGACGAAATGAAACTTCTATTTATTTGACATCATTTGGACACCTGCTTTATCGAAATTTTGATACACTCGTTTGGAGAAGTTTGGCGATGGTTTTCTATGTGTTAATAGCAGCAAACGTTAACATGGCACTGAATTCGGTTTCTCATTCTCCATGCACGGTTCAGAACAGTACGACAACTTTATCTCTACTTAATTATGTACAAACAACAAACAATGCGAAGGCAGAGTCAAACAAGCAGAATCGCCGGGGCGCGGGAGACGTCGATAAGCCTCTAAACAATCTGGCACAAACAATTGGCGAGCGACATTTATACAAGGACTCTCTCACTTTACGGGGTTGACTCGAATAGCTGGTCCCGCCTAGGACCGTGGAATGTTTCTCGATGTGCTGCTATAAGCGGACAGTGTTGGTGAGCGATGCGTTCAGGATCAAGTGGTCTGATCCTCGAATCGGCAGCGGATGTCGTCGGTAGTAGTGGACGGCGGAGGAGATGGAGCGAAAGCACGGACCCTCGCCGATAACCCACTTGTCACCCCTCCGCTCCAGCTTGATATGCAGGACACCGGTCGCACCTCGTAATGAAAGCGCAGCACTTCCTTCTCCTCGAGATCTGAAATTACACCTCATTTTTGAGTTAAAAGCAGTTTATCGGCAAGATGGAACCTTCTCGGATTTTGGTGGAGTTAGGAAGTAGACCCTACAAGTAAACTGTAGCTCAAGTCCCACCTGCCTTCATGCGCTAAGTCTGAAAAATGCGCTTCAAAATTCCACCAATGACGCCCACTCAATGGAAGTTGGCGGGGCTGGTGGAATTTTGAAGCTCCTTTACAGGACTTAGCGCATGAATTGGAAGGTGAGGTTCGGGCTGTGCTGCATTTGGAGAGTCTACTACCTGAAACTGCCAAAATCCGAAAAGGGTCCATTTTGCCGATCCACTGCCTTTAAGCAATGATAAAACATAACCTAGTAGTTCTCAGGTTCAACATATCAGACTGACATCAAAGTTCTGCTCCCACCAATTTCAAATTTCAGAACTTGTGATTTTTCTAACCGATTTGCTTGCTTTTGTATTCGTTTGAAAGAGTAAACCAGGCTTTTCATAAAACGTTTTAGCGCCTTTTCTTTAACACGTTTCGGACCGCGAAATCGCGCGCGGCAAAAAAGAGTGCACTTTCAGCTGTTAGCCAGCAAAGGGCCTTTATTTCGCAAACTGTGGGGTACATCTGTAATAAGCATGTCAGACAAGCTCCATAGCCAAAATTCTGAGTGAATTCAAAGTATTTGAATTTTGCTGCTTGAGAGGGACTTTTGTGCTTTTTTGAAAGATAGGAACAAGAACCCAGTTTCAAATAGTGTTCAAAAGTAATTATGTTGTACACAGTACACATCATTATTGAACTACGGTTTTTCTCTTTGAAATCGAAGCAAAGAAAAGCTGCGGCGTCGCACGCGTCGTTCGCGTTGCCGCACTTTCTTGCAACTGTTGTTCGATTTGTCCTTATATCACCTAAACAAATATCTGCGGCTCAGCTCTACAGAGTCATTTGAAAAGTAGGAGCTTAGACCTTTGACCTAATAACCTTGGACTAAAAGAAAACCTCCTGTAGATGTCAGAAAGATCCTTCAAAGCAGCGTGCTGCACCATGTGCAGCACCGGTCCGAAACGTGTTAAGCATATAATGAAGCGTAGAAGAAAATGACCTTAGCTTTGACTTTTCTCTGTTTGGCCGTAAAAAATTTAACTCCCAATAACAATTGGAGCACTCGGTTTTATAGGTTTCATTCCCTGCTCTTTCTAATTAAGCAGAGTTGGCTGATTGAACGTCTCTTTGAAGAGTTGTAATTTTCGAAGAATGCCAAGAAATCAATTTCGCTGTTTTGTGTCGCTCTAAAATCATGAATTTCCATAGAGACGTTCAATCAACACCAATGCTCAATCAGAAAGAGCAGGTAATAGAACCTGTTTATTGTGCTCCGAATTTTACTGCAAGTTCAGTTTCGCAGAAAAGTCAAATATGAGAAAGTTCAGAAAACTGCTGAGATAATCCTAAAAAGAGTGTGACCCACTCTTCCAAACAAAAATAAAAGCAAGCAAATCGGTTGGAAAAATCGCCTTGGCCAATTTCGCTCGTGGCCGTTTTCTTCCAAGCAAGTGTTGTCGCAACCACAGAGAAATTGTCTTATTGTCAAATCTACAGGAGACTAAAGAAGACTCACCGCAGCAAGAAATCGCCCAGTCCTCGACTTTCTAACAGTTTTTCGGCTCCTACCCGGTCAATGTTCCTTTCTAGCAAAGCTTCCTCTTCATTTAGAGCCGCCGTCCGTCGTGGCTTGTCTGATCTCAGGGAGTTGCGTTTCGAATCAACTGGGGAATTGCCAATGTGCACCAGATGGTGTGAAGAGGGAGAGTGCGGGAGGGGAGAAGCTGTAAAGGGTGCATCAGTATTGTGCGAGGTAGATTGCAACATATCCTCACCAAAGAAACCGAAACAAGCCATAGAGTTTACTTTATAAAATTTGAGTAGCAGAAATAATTAAGCCAACAACATTGCCAGTATGGAAATTGCTGGCCAAACTCACTTTTTCATGACTTTTGGGAACCAATGACGAAGGGAGGCGCACAGATAATAATCTTTAATATACTTCCAACCCTTTTTTATGAATTTTTTTTAAAGCAACAATTGACGATCAGCGTGTAACTTCGGTGATGGATCGTACTGTAGCGAATGTGTTAACTAGCTTTTCCATATCGTTATTCGAGAACTCCTCCCCCCCCCCCCCCCTGAACAAGTGGCGTACCCAGTGCTCAGCATTTCCGTCCGGGGGGGGGGGGAGGGACAAAGAACTTTTCGGATAAAAGCACTCCATAGAATTTTGGGATGCTTAACTTTTTGCGGGCTCATAACCCCGAAATTCTAGAAAAGGGGGCTTGGGGTAGCCGCAAAAATTTTTTTTACAAGGCTAATTTGAGTTTTGAAAAGTTTCAGAAGTTATTTCAATAGTTAAAGGCAGCGTCCAGGTAAGTCTGGACACATGGGGATCTCACGTCGATAGTAATTTTGGGGCCCTAACTAAGGCACTGCCCAATCGGCAGCTCAGGTAGTGCTTTAACGGCTGAGATATTCCCCTCGAAACTGGACCCCGCGATCGTATTTCACATGGATTCATGGCGCAAAGCGTGGGTCCTGGCGCAAGACTGCCATGAATCCATGCGAATACGATCGCGGGGTCCAGTTTCGAGGGGAATATCTCAGCCGTTACAGCACTGCCTGCGCTGTCGCTTGGGCAGTGCCTTAGTTGGGGCCTCAAAAGTACTTTCCACTAAAATCCCCACAGGTCCAGATCTGCCTGGACGCTGCCTTTAGCAAGCAGAAATAAGTCACTTGCACAATTTTAGAATAGATATATGTGACTTTCAAGTTCCGCGACCTATTCGCGGAGGAGGGGTGTGGGCCCCCGTCCTCCCTCGGTACGCCACTGGTGCAAACCTGTGAGGCGGAAGTCGGCCATCTCATCTTTTGCGTGTTCTGGATGAGACGGACTATGATCCCTGCTGGTGCCAGATCTGTGACGTTCTGACGTAAGATAATTGATTCGCTCACGCAGAAAAGTAAAAAGCAACAGCGGCGCGGTTTCTCGTTCTTCGATCACTTGGTGCATTTTCATTGCTGATAATTCTTTTTCAATCAGAAGACTGAAATCCCTTGCAAAGTCAATGATGCGCTTCAAGTCTCTGCGTCTATGAATCATTTTAATTGCATTTCATAAGATGGTCACGGCTCTGAACTGCTTACGTCCATGCAGTGGTGATAAAGATATTAGGGCGACAAGTTTATGATAAGGAAACGAAGCTGAGTCTTTGTTTATCGGATATCTTTGTGCTAATCTCAACCTGATAAAGCGTTTGGTGTGCACATCTGAAGTGTAAATACTAGGTCCAGAATCGCTTGTTTTCACCTTTGGAATTATCAGGGAATGGGGAAAGAAATAGCAATTTCTTGATCGCAAGTGTCAGCAAGAAATTACTCCTTTAATATCTCAGCAGAAAATCTTTCCTTTAATCTGAATTATCTCGGAGCGAGTGCTTCAACGAGGAAATATTGAGCAGGTTCAAAAGTTGTTCACCAGCTTTTCAAGAAAACATAACTTCCTTTCTCCTCAACGGATTTTCTTGAAATATTTTTTGTTTGAAAGAGGAAACCATGCTCTTCAAAGCGGCCTTAGATAAGCATGGGTAAATTGGAGATTTGGAAGCAATCGAAGAAAAATGCCCAAGATTGCCGTATTTTAAGCAGGCTCATGAAAAATTCTTAAAGTGTTTTTATTTGATGGAGAAATTATGCGGATTACTATGATACCTCTGTTTGAATTAAAGAAAGGAAATGCGAGAGTTAGAAAAAAATGAAGAGAATTGCTTCAGTTTTGCAATTTTTGAGCATGCTCAAAAAAAACTAAAACCTCACAGCAAAGATTGAAACAGTCATAAATATGAGTTTAATAACCTCTTCTTTCTAGCTAAGCGAAATTCGTGCTACTGGAGGACAGATTTGATTTTCGTGGAAAATGCAGACGCGAAAATCCGAAAAATACACAAAAATCAAATCTTTTTGATTAACACGAACTTTCTCAGCTAGGAGGAGGTCATAAAAGTCAAAGTCATATTGTTTCGGTGTCTACTATGATGTCTTAAGCTTTATTGATCATGCTCAAAAATTGCAAAACTGAAGCGGTTCTCTTTATTTACTTCTTAATCTCGCATTTTCTCGTTTTAATTCTTAAGAAAAATACTGAAATAATGGCGTAATTTTTTCTATCAAACAAAAATACATGCAAAATTTTTTGTGATCCTGCTTGAAAAATGCCAATTTTGGGTAATTTTATTCAATTGCTTCCATTCTCGAATTTTCTTATACTAATCTATAGCAGAGATAGTGCTGTAAAAAACATGTTTCCCTTTTCAAACAAATAAACCTTCAAAATATCCGTTTACAAGAAAGGAAGTTGTAATTTTTTTAGAACCCGACGAACGAACTTTTGAACCCACTCAATAGGATAGCATTCTATTAACTAGGCACAAAATTGCGTTTTTCAAAATCTGCCTGAGTTTAGAATAGGGTATGAGGTGGTATTGTGAAACATGTTAATAGCAAATGAGAGAAAGAAATCGTTCGTACATGAAATAAACCGCATGCTTCTTGCCGTAAATCAAAGTCCGAACTCGAAGTAATATTTCACTTCAGCAGTACCACTGCTCCATTCCTTGATAAAAGAAATTTTATGCACCAAATTTGCAAGCATAGTCACTTTCATAAAAATTTTAAAGCTGTATGTAATTTCCTCCTTAGGCATGACATTATTAAACAAGGTTTGTCATGTGTGCATTCTATTGGTAAACTTCCTTTTACAAACTACCAGAGATCCCAAAATTGCAGATCATTGTTTGCTTATGACTAGAGACACTCCCTCATTAGGTAACTGAAAGAACTATGCTATAATGCTGATCAATTCGGAAAAATTCTAAGCAATTATTGAAACGACTGTGATTGAAACACCCGTACTCACGCAGATTATTTTCCATTCAAAAGTGGGATCGTTTTGCAGACTATTAACAAAGGATTAGTGTTCCCTCATCAAACAAACCAAAAAAGTCGCGGGACGTTTTGTTGCACTCTTCTGCAAAATTGCAACAAATACCAAAAATGCTTAGTAATTAAGTAATTTGGGAATGGTCTACTAACAAAGACTGCGTCTTCGTCATTCTCATTTTTCTCAATGTCCGATCGCATGACTTATTCAAAGGATATTCAATCAGCTAGACAATCATTTTGAGTCATCATAGCTAAATAAAGAACAATATTTTATAAATTATCAGATCTTTCTGTGGAGAAAGACTACCAAAAAATTTGATTGTCGCAAAACCCTCTCCATGTACTTTACAGAAACACACTTGCTCCATCAGTCTGAGTAGATAACATAATTATTAGGTTCTTCACTGGTAAAAAGAGCAGGTCATAAAAGCTATGGTACCAAATCCGGTTTGCAGGGCGAGCCAAATTTTTGACAATCCTATACAGAAAATCAAAACTTGAGTATTCTTCTACGCTTCTATCTCTGCACTGCACTTACAACCCTTTCAAAACCTTTCAAAAGCTGTTATAAAGCGCACGATTTTCTCTTAGAAATGAATAGAATTGTATTGGGCGATTCCCTTGTAAAAATAAGAATTTGTAAGTATTTGAAAGTGATGCGCAGGTACTTTTGGACCGAGCTGATATTTTTCACAGTGATGCCCATGAGACCTTATAGCGTTGCTTTTTTCACGGCAAACTTATGGTTCTTTTGTGTTTTTCTCCTATTTTTTCTAGCCTTTCTCTTACCTTGAGGCGATCCCGTACTAACACCGGGGCCCCGGCTGAAGAGGGCCGCGTCGACGGCGGAAAGGCGCACGGAGTTGGGGCGCGCGAGAAACTCCCACGGCGTGTCATAGTGGTCCTCTTCCATCAGCACCCGCACATAATCTGCAAAACGTCTCGTCTGAAGAGGAGGACTGCGTCATCCTAATGAGGTGTGAGAGAGACAGTCACGACGAGTCGTATGAATAATGCAAATCGCTGAGTAAACAAAGGTCGAGTAGTGGATATTGCCTGGAGTGAAATGAACACTCCGATGCTTGAGCCAAAGGACTGCAAAAAAGCAAAGCTGACACCGAATGCTAATGGCAATCGTGGGTAGATATCGCTGCTTTTGGCTAAAGGTAGCGCACTGGAGCAAACAGACCCCCCGTCCACGGAAATTCGAACCCCCGGCCATAAAAGCTATGGGATCGATGGCCGTACGGAGGTGAATCCAATTCTAGCACATTAGCGTCCGGAAATCAGGCAAAGCCCAGCTCCGACTGCTATTGCGTTACAGCGCAACGTCTACTAAGTGGCATAACCGAGACGAAATGCAAAATGAGAACAAAAAAAACAACAGCCGGATGGCTGCACTTAGGCTTTTGTCGTTAGAACGGTGAGTGCTGTAATGTGCCATGCTGTCACAGTGAGTTCAGCTGTTTTTCGCGCATTTGACATTACACGGTTGCCGATCGTGGCAATCGATTCCTTAGGGTCAGAAGAGGTCTTTTAAGCTCATATTTCTTCGTACTTGTTTTTTTTTGGGTGAAGAGAGGAGGATAGTAGGGTAGGGACATGATTTTTGTAAAACCTGTTCATCCTATGTATGTGACCAAATTATTCACGCGCGCGTGGACAAGAACTATTGCATAATTTCCAGTTCCATGATCGCTGCAATCTACTTCTTGACACCATAGTTGCTTGGAATTTTAGCTTTTTGCTATTCAAGAGGACTAGCACAATTTTGCAAACATATAACTGGGAAAGAAGAGCTCTGTCTGCACAATAATTATCCCTCTTGACATAAAATCCCTAAAAAAGCAAAGAGAGTTCCCCTAGCATAGATTATAATTGTTAGGACATGCGTAAATTCGATGAGAGAATTATGAGATTGTTTCGATAAATTTGACTATTTCCAGAAATCGTTTTCGACAATTTTGACTATTTGCAGGCGCATTGGTTTTGATTTTAAATCAAAAAATAATTCCCTGACAGATAAAGACCAGATTTTTTTCATCACCTCATCTTTTCAATTTCTGCTAGGCTCGTATTAAAGTCTCAATCTTAGCATCCTGTTTTGAAAGCTGAAATCACAGATGGGCTGAAAGAAATAATAGCAGTGCCAATAGAAGGACAGTAGAATTTCTACTCCTGTGCTTGTAATTAATCGATTAGGCAACTAATATGGTTCTCCTTGATGTTCAAATTTAAGACGCAGACAAATTTTTTAGTCATAAGAAGCTTTATGAATAAACGATGCTTTCGCTAATAAAAGAAGGCTGCGTTTGAGCTCAGAAAAGAAAAAGAAGACGAATGGTAAAAGAATGCACTTGACTCTGACAGCTAGTGCTCTTGGCTGGAGTGGCTAAAAGCTGTCTTGTCATAGAGGACAAGAGCACAAAATCGCAAAAAGGAAAATGGATGGGACTCACTGGAGATGTGCTACGATCTTGAAGCAAGGGGGTGAAAAAGTGTGACCACAACATCCGGATTTGCTGCAAATTTGTGAAAGGAGTAAATAACCATGCTATGCTGGATTTGTGCTATATTGCCGAAGAAAGGCGTAATAAAACAAAAAAAATATGTTCAATGGTTTGCCAATGATTTCCGCAGTTTGCGAGAGTCTAGCGAATGGTCAGAAGAGTGGGAGCAGCGCCGAAAATAATCCGTGGTTGCGCGAGTTTTGTGCTACGAGTCGTCCATAATTGATGGTGATCGTGGCGAGATTGGGCATTATAAACATCGCATAATGCAGGCAATAAATCGTTGCGAAGAGGACAGGGCCAACGTTCCTATCCAGTAGAAGAAACATTGCTCTAGCCATTATACTGCTTGTCTTCAATGGCACCGATCAGCCAACCTCAGGTTGAGATGATTCTGATGCTGGTACATTGAGGCGTCTAACCAAGTGATTGCCCAATTCCCACTGCAAAAGGTCTATCGCAGAAGTTTGCCTCAGAAAATGGATGCTGCTGGCGTCGCCACGCCCATCAACGAGGCTAGTCTGAAAAACTGAGCGGGAAAATAAACTCAAGGTTAGATGTCCAGATCGTGTTCGCGTTGAAAGACAGTTTTTTTTTACATTTCTGGGTATCACCGCATTCAGGCTACCCATGTTGATGGGCGTGGCGACCCTAACAGCATTGCGATTTCTTAGCGGCTTTCTCGCTCCGGAGAGCACCTTTTGCAGCGAGACTTGGACAATTGCTTAGCTGGGAGCCCCGCTATTCACTGCATCAGAATCTTGCGACTTCACACTGGTGGGAGGTACCTTTATAGAGTGATTAATCCGATAATAAACTCCCGCGCAACTTCCGCATTTCCAGGGCGCACCTTGGACAGACAAACAAATGCTTTCTGAATGACAGGCCAGTCTGCAGCTGTATTTGCCTACCGATCACAGCCTGCCATGGCCGAATTATGCAGTAATTTGTCGAGAATATGAGCCGGAACAGGCGCAAGAAGTGGAGAAAGCGAGCCGAGTGAAAAATTCGAAATGACATCGCTAGTGCTGGCTTAGCCACGGATTGAAACCAAAGCAGCGGATCGATTCGTAGTCGAGGTGCGGTCCAGGAAGGGCAATTTATGGACAACGGAACTCGACTTACAACAAACTCCGTTGAAATTGACGTTCGCAGTGATGCCATTGCCGCGGACTAGAAATTTCTCAACGAAAAAAAAAACAACTCAAGTCAGCGCAAACATTGGGGGCTCCGCCAGTGATTACCATCACTTAAGAGTGTAACAATGAATTGTTTCACAATCTGTGAGAGAATATATAGATGGACGAAAAAGTGGATTAGTCATTGTTTGTGAGAACAGTTGTGCAACACGTAATATCCTTTTTGTATGGTATCGCTATGTTACATCGAATGGAAAGCAAAGTTCGGTCACCGTTTGATTTTACACTGTAAATTCCGTCACTAATGAATGAGATGAAAAAATCATCTGCTGTTGGGGACGGTTCCATCCGAAAGCTAGTCGATTTTTTACTTACAAATTGCAATTAGATTGAGAAAACCGCTCCCATTACAGTGCGCGACGAAACTTTCCCTCATCGAAAAAATCAAACACGATCAAGCGAAGTCCTGGCAAACACTTATCGAATTGTCAAATTGGGAAAAAGAGGAACGAGATGTACCAAGTAAATTGACAAAAAGGAACACTACACAATGTTTGCCGAACAACGAACACCAAAGAAGTAGAACGGTGACCTGCACCATAGTTATCACCCTTTCCCCGTAGAAGGCAAATATACTAAAGAGACCTCGCCAATCTACCTTCAAGAGGAAGTGAGTCCTCTATTTCACACTTTGCACGATAAATCTTATTGTTAGAATCCTCCCTCCCCCTCCCCCCGTCTACCAAGATAAAGCAAGCAAGAAAGAAGTGTGAGAACAGCGGAACAGCTGTGCGAACATAGGCGTTTATTCCTTTCTTCTGATGCCTGCATCGGTCGGCTGTTAGTGCTCTCATAAGCGGGGACATTTCAAATGATGATTGATGGTTGTGTGAAGAGATGATCACTTTCGAGATTAGTGCCACAACAGCTGGTAATAGCCCATAGAGTACTAGGAGAACTTCGGAGCCAAGAATAACTAAACACCTAGAAAATTTTGCCATTCCTCTGGACCTAGACAGCAAGGGAGACGGTCGAGAGGCGCGACTTCTTCAGAGAAACTTCACCAACTTAACAGCCCGATTTAGAGCTATGCGAGTTTTTTGTGAATACCAGACGAATGCCGCAGCTTACCTATCTGAAGCTGACACTTTTTGACTTTGGAGGCTTTCGGTGAAAACTGGATTGAAATAATCACGAAATTACCAAGGATTGCATTTTTACGGGTTTTTGATCTCCAACGCTCATATTTTAGGTCCGAAAAATGAAAAGAGAGAGCAACCTAAGGGACGATAATACATATTTTTTTTAGAAATTTGAATTGCTCCTGGAACATCAAAAAGTGCCAAAACTGCGCTGATTAGTGGCAACTGGCAATAAAAATCGCGGCTCTTGACATATACCCAGAAAACAGTGTTCCTTGCTTATTAGGAATCCATAAAAAACTTAGAACCCACTGCGAAAATTGAATTTGTGGTTTTGACAGTTTTCACACATAACATAGATTAGCGTACAAAATGTCATCATTCTTTAGCCCATACATTGAGTTGGCCCTAAGTCTTGCACCAAAGATTGAAAAGATACCTTTTGTCTCTTTTTATTTCAGTTCCTATCTCCATTATATGTCAAGATGAATTCTTGCTTAGAGAAAACTGAAAAGTGCATTGATTGTCCTTATATCAAATAAAGGGATTTATTGAAACTAGAATTGAAATTGTCTAAAACTTGATGCAAGACTTATGGACCAGTCTAATACTTGTGATCTCCAAATCTAGTTATTTTTAGAGTTGCTATAAATTCTTTTGTAGATAAAAAATTGCCCAAACCTCACGTTAGCTCTCGAAAAAAGTCCGAGACTCGTTCAAAAACTCCAGTAAGTATTTTGCACTACACTGAGTGAGGCAATTCTGTTTGCAAAAGCTTTTTTAGAGCCAGTAGAAATTGACAAGAACAAGGCACTTGTGCACTAGTGCAATTCGACCAGAGTACAATAGACTACAAATGATGAGGCTGTTCATTCTTCAAAGCCTTTTTTGTTAACAATGACATAGACTGGAGCATTTTGCAGTTTTCAATGGCTATAGCCTATAGCTTGACATATTGCTTGTAGCACTTTGCAAAAAAAGTTGCAAGAATTTGCATTTCAAAATGCAATGGCCCTAGTCGAAAAAAAAAACTGGAGATCATAAAGACAATCTGTTCTAGATATCTGGGATTTGTCCTCTCATGCATTGATTAAAAGTTCTTCTGAGCATTTGCAGAAAAAAACGTAAAAGTAGTTAACAAGCTTGCAAACAGCTGG